GAAACTTAAAAGCTTTTGCACAGCAAAGGAAACCATAAACAAGGCGAAAAGACCACCCTCAGAATGGAAGAAAATATTTGCAAATGAAGCAACTGACAAAGGATTCTTCTCCAAAATATACAAGCAGCTTATGCAGCTCAATATCAAAAAACAAACAACCGAATCCAAAATGGGCAGAAGACCTAAATAGACATTTCTCCAAAAAAGATATACAGATTGTCAACAAACACATGAAAGGATGCTCAACATCACTAATCATTAGAGAAATGCCAATCAAAACTACAATGAGGTATCACCTCACACCAGTCAGAATGGCCATCATCAAAAAAATCTACAAATAATAAGTGCTGGAGAGGGTGTGGAGAAAAGGGAATCCTCTTGCACTGTTGGTGGGAATGTAAATTGATACAGCTACTATGGAGAACAGTATGGAAGTTCCTTAAAAAAACTAAAAATAGGGCTTCCCTGGTGGCACAGTGGTTGAGAGTCCGCCTGCCGATGCAGGGGACACGGGTTTGTGCCCCGGTCCTGGAAGATCCCACATGCTGCGGAACGGCTGGGCCCGTGAGCCACGGCCGGTGAGCCTGCGCATCTGGAGCCTGTGCTCCGCAGTGGGAGAGGCCACGGCAGTGAGAGGCCCGTGTACCGCAAAAAAAAACTATAAATAGAACTACCATATGACCCAGCAATCCCACTACTGGGCATATACCTGGAGAAACCCATAATTCAAAAAAGAGTCATGTACCACAATGTTCATTGCAGCTCTATTTACAGTAGTCAGGAAATGGAAGTAACCTAAGTGTCCACTGACAGATGAATGGATAAAGCAGATGTGGCACATATATACAGTGGAATATTACTCAGCCATAAAAAGAAACAAAAGTGAGTTATTTGTAGTGAGGTGGATGGACAGAGTGAAGCAAGTCAGAAAGAGAAAAATAAATACTGTATGCTAACACATATATATGGAGTCTAAAAAAAATGATTCTGAAGAACTTAGGGACAGGACAGGAATAAAGATGCAGACGTAGAGAATGGACTTGAGGACATGGGGAGGGGGAAGGGTAAGCTGGAACGAAGTGAGAGAGTGGCATGGACTTACATGTACTACCAAATGTAAAATAGATAGCTAGTGGGAAGCAACTGCATAGCACAGGGAGATCAGCTTGGTGCTTTGTGACCACCTAGAGGGGTGGGATAGGGAGGGTCAGAAGGAGACACAAGAGGGAGGAGATATGGGGATATATGTATGTGTATAGCTGATTCACTTTGTTATAAAGCAGAAACTAACACACCATTGTAAAGCAATCATACTCCAATAAAGATGTTAAAAAAAAAAAAAGGACTGGCTCATCATTAAAAATACTTGCAGAGCCCATCTTCCTTTCCCTTCATCTCCCCTTCCCATCACCTCCAGAGGCAGTGCCACAGAGGTGTTGACAGCAGCATGCCTGGCATCTGAAGAAATGTAGAGTAAGAGTAGTGAGTGCAGAGGTGTCAAGAAGAGTAGTTGGGAGATTGGTTATATTGAGCAAATAAGTTGTTTGATTTAGCAAACAAATAAATATACTAAAGATAAGGAAGCCAGGTTTCTCACTGTCCAAAGGGATTTACAGACATTGAAGGGTAGAAAGCTGAAAAGAACACTGAGGCACTGGATTAGAATTGTAATTATCAGCATGATTTCACAGCTTTTTAAATTTGTATGTAGAAACAGTTACAATGTTTATATATTTGAATATATGAATATAAATATATATACACATATGTTTATACGTACATAAATTTCTTAGTTGTGTACACTGAAAGGGTCTAGAGGCAATGATACCTCAATAGTAATGAGCACAATGAGTGCTCAGATCTTGGTTTCTAAATACCACCCTCCACTAAAAGGAATCAGCGATGCTTGGATAAGTGGCCAATTCTAGGACTGGGGCAGCAAACATATTAAGATCAACCTGTAACATCATGTTGTTCCAGAAAGTAAAGAAATATTCAAAGAATGGTGGGAACATGTCAAAAGGACCCCAAAGCCAGCCTGAATGCATGCCCACTGACCAAATCTAATGTAAGCAACAAAATAAATACTGTTAATATCAGATTACAGCTCGTTGAATAAAATAGAAATCTATGCGTTTATAAATAAATGAATAAATAGAGAAGAGAACATTCTTCCTTAATATACAAGCTCAACTAATAAATGCAGAAGGGATGGTAGAAATAGATAATCACTGTTGATGTCTATTATAGGGATGGTGATACAGAAGGAGTCATCGGTGAATGCTAGACTGGTAGTTGGAGGCTTGGTGAGGAACAGGATATTGGCATGATGCAGTGTACTTGTTTCAGCTCTCATACTGTAACAAGTGTCCTTTCACAGTCCATTTAATAACACATTTTTCACATTTTTATGCTTTTTGTTGATTTTGCTGTTTAAAATAGCCCCCACATGTAGTGCCGAGGTGCTCTCTAGTGTTCCTAAGTACAAGAAGGCTGTGACGTGTCTTACAAAGAAAATGAATGTGTTAGATAAGCTTCATTGCAGCATGAATTATAGTGCTATTGGCCACAAGTGCAATGTTACCGAATCACTTCTGTGTTAAATAAAGTGTTTTTAGCTGGAAACACACATAAAACAAGGTTACGTGTTGATCAGTTGGAGAAAATGGACTAAAGGCTCACAGGAACCTAACCCTGCATTTTCCATAGGAGCAGTGCTTCACTGTTTGCTAATTCAGTGTTCATGGCACATTATAGGACTTCACTGCCATGAATAACAAGAATCAGATGTATCTCACGTAATGGGAACTGCCAAAACTGATAAGTGTCGTTTCAGGGGGGCCCTAAGGAGCCCGGTCTTTTATGTCTCAGCACAGAAAGAATTCAGCGAGAGTCAAAGTGATAGATAAGCAGTGATTTATTAGAATAGAATAGGATGCTTGTGAGGCTTACAAGCTGCTGGGCAAGAAGGTGCTGCGCCCTGAGAACTTAGTGGGCTCCAGTTTTGTAATCACAGGAAAAGTGGGGAGGGTGAAAAGACCACCTTCTTCCTCATTCTTGAGTAGACGTCATGCTTCCATCATCAGCTCCTCCTCCAGATTGGGCAGGGGAGTTTTCTTGTCCCTACATGGTCAAGCCAGGACTGTCACGGCACTATGGAAAAATTATTTCAAGTCTTTCACTTTGAAATGTCACCTTTCCATAAAGTACTGGTTTTTATGTGTGCAGAGAGCATGTCCTAGGGATCATTAACTTACTGAGCTCACTGGGCAGGATGTAGGTCTCATGTCACCACTGTTTTTATTGTTTTGGGGCTTGTCTCATGCATGGGTTTTGTTGCTAAGCCGGCCTGCTTGGCTTTGTGGTTAAGCAAACCTGCTTTCTTGAATGACCATTAACTTACAGGGGTCTCCCATACTTTTTTCTTTATTTACAATCCCCTAGTGGGATTAACTATTTAATTGCCTAATTTGTCCCTTTACTTTGTCCCTATCACTAACAGTGGTTGCCATTGGTTTTATCAGATTAATTTCATACGATGTATAACAGTGTTCAAAATTTTACTCTGTTGTGAAACTATACGTATGTATTTGTGAGTGATTTATAAAATATTTCAGGGTTAAAAGGGACATGTGGAAGACTAACTTTGACTTATATGAAATAGTAAAATATTCAAAACAGTTGTTTGTGCATTTCTTGCTAAAATAAACTATACTTTTTAGTTAACTAGCCTTCTTTCGGTTTCATCTGCTTACTAATTTAAGATGAATTTGATTTTAAGAAATTATAGTTCCAAAGATAGAAAGTTTATTTTACTAGAAAGTATAAGTAAACCATATCTATTAACTAATCACTCTAAAATATGTTTTTTATGTTGCTCTCACTTTGAACTCCTTGGTATGTCTTTCTCTTAAAGAATTTTGGCTTATCAGTGCTTTATAGTTGCTTCCAGAGCCTGATAGATTTATTGTGTATAGTTTTTAATGCTAATCAGTTGGCTTTTGATACTTTTTTGAGTGATTGGGGAATATCTTATTAGAATCAAATAGATGAATTAGCTAATTTTATTTACTTAACATTTGGAGGGATAAGTGAAAAGAGAAGAAGACTCAAGCTGATTCAAAAGCAACAATGAGAAGAAAAGATAAATGACATATTCTTCAAGTCTTCTAATCAACCAAATATTAGACAAAAGAAATTGGGGATTTGTCTTTAAACTGGAGATGTGCTGAGCATATTCTTACTTTAGGGGTTTTTTTTAAACTGTCTTTAGATACTGATTTTTGTCTAGAAGGGATAGTGGGGGCTACTAAAATGAAACTCATAATTTCAACTTTTGCTTGACATTTCCTTGGTGCTGGGCACTTTACACTATATTAATGCCAGGAAAAAAATTTTATCTACTCTCATCTTTAGGCAAGTTCTTATTCTTCGAATGCAGAGTCACTTCTAATTTAGATTTTTAGGAAATGGGAAAAAACTTATTCTTTGAGACCAGTTGTCTAAGCCAGGCTTTTGTACTTCCTGGTTACTTGTCATTCAGCAACTGTATGGGAAAGTGTTTGTAAGTTATAAATCAGTGTGTTAATAATAATTTTTATTTCTCCTCTTAAGCTGGACTTTGTAAAAACTTTGTAAAAAACAGTTTTATTTCTTGTTTTGTTTAGTACAGATGTCTGTCTCTTCAGCCAAAAATCATTACTAATGGTTATTGGGCATTTGTTTTGTACTTTGTAATCTTATAAAGTGTTTTCATCAGATGTTTCTTAGAAAAACCCTGAGTGATAGGTGAAAATCATAATTTCATAGATGGGAAAACTGGGAGGTAGAAAAGCGGTGAACCTGGCTTTCGGGTCAGAATATTCAACCTCTGCTTTCCTGGTTGGTTTTGAGGTGGGGAAGGAGTGGTTTTGTTCTTTTTGTTTTTTTAAATATCCCTGCCTTTTACTGCTGTAGAGAGTGACTTATATTTTACAACAGCTGATGTTTTTCTCCTACAGAGATATTCCAATGCCCTTAGTCAGCTCAGGAGTAGAGCATGGTAACTTGAGAGAGCTGGCATTTGCAAGAATGAAAGACCTTGGAATACAGGTAAGAGTCTGACCATAACTGTTGAGATCAAAGTAGTCTGAGACACGAAAACCTGTGATACTATCACATTACAAACTTATAGGTTTGGTCAAAAAGCTTTCATGTATTGAAGCCATTACTGTATAACACATAGAAATTGAAGCTAGTGGTTGCAAAGTCTGCATCCTATCCCCTACACCCCTCTGCTTTCTTCTAAAAGAGCGTAGGTTTGTCAGTTTAATGGTTGTTTTCCCTGCCTTCTCAGATTGCCAACTATGTGTTCAACTCCTTTTTTAAAAAAACTTTTTTTTTGGTTTTGAAGTATTGGGTGTTCGACTCTTGACTAGTGGTTAGAGAAGAATACAACATTTGAAGAAACAAGGCTTACATACTGAAATACTTAGCAATGTTATTGCCCAGATATACCAGTCTCCCTCGCCCTGCCCCATCCCCATGTCTACTCACTCACTCATTTATTTCACAAATATTTACTAAACACCTCCTTTCTGCTTTCCCTGAAAGAGCCCAGGAATCTGCAACTTGACAGTCTCTGTAGATGATTCTGAAATCACGATAAGGTTTGAAACTCAGTGCCCTAGGAGCTATTTCTCAGAGCTGCTAAAGAGAAAAGGCCAGGAGGGTGTCTAGGCCTGAGCACTGATTCCTGGCCTCTGCCTTCAAAGATTCTCGTTCACGCCATCTGGGATAGAGCTGTGGGAGGTTCTCATGCACAGTGCAAACATGGACCCCACTTTGAAAGATGTCGTTGAGAGGACTGCATATCATGTTTGTGGACCTACCCAAAACATTTTGTCCTCTGTCAATATATTATGGAGAAAATTTTTCAGAAAATCGTTTGTCCGTAGGAGAGTTTGTGAACATTATGGCTTATTCTACCCTCCCCCCCCAAAAAAATTTCAGTTCTAGAAAAACAGCAAATGTATGTACAGTAATGAAAGCCCCAAACAAGAGCATGTGCCTGCTGAGCCTCCCAGTCCCTGCCTGTCCTTGTCGTCCAGCTCCTTCTCCTGAGAATACCACTGCCCAGTGACCCACCCGGCCTGCTCAGCCTGCTGCCCTCATCAACCAGGCACTGTTTTTAACCCTGTACCCCTCTTAACCCGTGATAGCCTCTCATAAGGTAAACTGGGATTGAGTCTAAAGACTGGAATTCAGTCACACCGAATGACATCCAGTTCACATAGGCAGTGTCTTTACTAGAAAATAAGCACACACCAATCTCTGCCTTAAAAAGCATTCCCCTCCCCTCCAAAAAAAAGAAAAAAGCATGCAAGTGTTCATTAAAAGCATGTAATATGGGTTCCCGGGGCATGGAAATAGCTTAGTTCTTTTAGAACTGAATAATGAGCTCTTATTTTTCTCATGGAATTCCATCCATGGAATTTAGTATATATACTAAATATACTATTAGTAGTATAGCTGCATGACATCATCAGATTTCCTATGGCAATCTTTTCTCACTGATGGAAAATGTTAGAATCCTGGAAATAATTTTTACAGTTCTATAGGAGAAAATATACCATAGGGCATATAATAGTTACTGTAATTATAAACGTCAGGCTGTGTAGCCTGCACACTGGGTTGTGGAATAGAAGCAAGAGTTACATCACATAGCTTGGCCGTGCAGACCAGGCACTGCTTCCGTATCATCCACAGGCAGCTTTGTGCTTCCCAGGGACACTCAAAGAGCCAATCTGCGACCGTGGTTCAGATTGTATAATAAATAGCTCAAGGTTCTTTCTTTCCATTCTTCTTCCTTCGCTTCCTTCCTCCCTCCCATCCTTTCTTCCACGGAGCCCTTCTCTGCAAAAGGGAAGCAGTCTTAGCTTCCCTCTTTCTGACATTCCTAAAATGATACAAATATGGTGATGCTAAAAATGTTAACTGCCATAAAATGGTGAAGGTTTTAAAAAATTAGGAATTCCGTTTTTTCTTTATTTTTTCTTTTTCTTTGCGGTACGCGGGCCTCTCACTGTTTCTTTGCGGTACGCGGGCCTCTCACTGTTGTGGCCTCTCCCGTTGCGGAGCACAGGCTCCGGACGCGCAGCCCCGGCGGCCGTGGCTCACGGGCCCAGCCGCTCCGCAGCATGTGGGATCTTCCCGGACCAGGGCACGAACCCGTGTCCGCTGCATCGGCAGGCGGACTCTCAACCACTGCGCCACCAGGGAAGCCCAGGAATTCAGTTTTTACTTTTCGGTAGACATAGTTTTGGGTTGCACTTTCAGATACAGTTATATCCTCTGGATTTTCAGATTTTAGAATGTATGTTCTTTACTTTCAATATTGTATATTGATCTCCTTTGGATTCTAAACTTATAAAGCAATACTGTACCAACTTCATGTATTTCTAGTTTGTTTTTCCCTATCAGGTTTATTAAAGATGGCTTCATTTTTAATTCATTTCTTTTACCTCAATGTAAATTATGTCCAAACTTAATTTTGAGCCCAGGATTTGGTGGAGAAGTTTCAATAAAAATTGAATTAGTTACCAGTTTTATATTTGCCCCCCCTCCCACTTTTTTTTCTTTCTTTTCTTTCTTTCTTTCCTTTCTTTTTTTTTGGCAGTGTCGAGACGTGAGAACCAGAGAGGTTGGAATCCAAGAAATTCATCACAAAGTGCGTCCATACCAGGTTAGTTTCTTCATTTTATAGAGAGATTGGGTCCTGTTCATTAATCTTTGTCAAGCCTGGGCCTACACCTACTTACCAGTAGGACCAAACCCTAGAAGTTAATGAGTAAACTAAGAGCAAAGAGTAATTCAGAATGAAGTCAAGCCAGGAAAACCAGATATGAGGGTGGCTCAACTCTAGAAGAGCCAGGTTAGGAAAACCAAGTTTGAACTTCATTGTAGATCAGCACTGTCCAGTAGAGCTTTCTGTAGTGTTGGAAATGTTCTATAATCTGTGCCATCTAATAGGATGTCAGCTACCAGTCACATGTGACTTGAAATGTGGCTAGTGCAAAGAACTTAGTTTTTGTTTTTTGTTTTTTGTTTTTTGTGTTTTTTTGTTTTTTGCGGTACGTGGGCCTCTCACTGTTGTGGCCTCTCCCGCTGCGGAGCACAGGCTCCGGACGCGCAGGCCCAGCGGCCATGGCTCACGGGCCCAGCCGCTCCGCAGCACGTGGGATCCTCCCAGACCGGGGCACGAACCCGCGTCCCCTGCATCGGCAGGCGGACTCTCAACCACTGCGCCACCAGGGAAGCCCTAGTTTTTAATTTTATTTAATTTCAAGTAATTCAAATGTAAATAGCCAAATGTGTCTAGTGGCTGCCTTCAGGTAAAGCTGAGTGTCATGTGCTTATCTCTGTGTGCAACTGTTAAATTATTGACTGTTGATGGTAATCAAGCGAATAGATCAGCCATGTCAACAGGGGTTCCATACACGTGTTTGTGATGAATTAACTTCTCTCCTAGAATGACATCGTGTTAGCTATTTGCCAGATTTTCTGTGGGGGTTAGCTGTCGTGTGGGAGCCCATTTAAGAAAGGCTAGAGTAGATCTGCATTGATATTTCTGTTTTCAAAGTGAATTGTTTATTTGATTGACATTTTTCACATTTTGGATCTTTTGAGGAAAAAAGTAGACCCAAGCATCGTTAGTCACTTTGTCAAATTCTTGTGCAATCCAGTTATTCAGCAGACATTAAGTTGAGGAGGAACATCAGTGTTAGTCTGTTTATTCACCTCGCTGTGGGTCCAGTCTGCCCATTTTCATAGTGTACCTGGGTGTGACTGTGCCCACGTATGTAGCTTTCTCTGCATGCATATTGCTTATATTTACGCAAAGTACAAGGGACACTTGAGCAGGAAGCAAGAGACAAAAGCCCATGTAGATTGCTAACAAAAGCTTCCCCAAAAGCCCCTCTCCGGTGATTGGATTTTCTTTAACATGTTAATCTCATAACTAGGCATACTATTTTAAAGGTCCTGTGGGATACTTTTTAAAAAAATTCCATCAAGGAATAAGTAACCAATAACAGATTTTTTCCCCTAAAAGCAGGTTTTAGTGGAGGAGGTAAGGACTAGAAAAGAAAACCATTGAGTACCTGACAGTTCTAGGGCCTCAGGGTGCTCCCAAGAGCTGCACACGTGACATAATGTATAATTTTACCTTAGAGACTCTTCATGGAGGATCAGATTTAAATACATGGAAGCATTTACTGAGCCAAACTGTAAGAATCACAAGGTTAATGAGGTTCAGATACTTATGAAATTGTAAAACTGGTTTCCTTTTTTATAGTCCACGAACAAGTCATGAACTCTCGTTTAATCAGTGCTATTGAGAGGAGACAAGTAAAAAGAAACGCAATTTGTGGTTATTTATTCCTTATCCCTAATCATGGATATTAATCTAAATAAACATATATAATAATAGAAACGCACTTTGTTCTCTAGTTTAAAAAAAAAAGTTTTTGCGTGGCTTTTTATGAGACAGGTTGAATTGGTAAGAAGAGATTATGTTGCAAATGGTGGCTGGGAGACATTCTTATCCTATGAAGACCCCGATCAAGACATTTTGATTGGCCTTCTGAGATTACGGAAGTGCTCAGAGGAGACATTCCGTTTCGAATTGGTCGGCGGGGTGTCCATAGTCCGAGAGCTGCATGTGTATGGAAGTGTCGTCCCCGTCAGGAGTCGGGATCCCACTAAATTTCAGCATCAGGTATCCTGTATTCCATTTCTGTTTGACTGTGATTAAGAAATTGCTCAAAGGAGGAAAAGAGAAAAAGAACGGGGCAAGGGTGGGAGCAGAGGAAAAGGAGAGGGGAAATTCGGGAAGTGTAGAAACAGGAACCAGTATAATAGTACAGTTGTTCAGAGATGTTTTCTCTTTAAATTGCTCCCCTTTGGGTGTGAGGGAGGGGGAGGGAGAGACAAATTGAGACTCAGTCAAGTGGAATATAATAATAGACTGAACCATATGAAATTGCTATTTTTGAAAGTCAGAAATGGTCTAATACTGGCAATTTCGTATGATTCAACTATTTGGGGATCGAAGGAGATGATAATTTGAAAGAAAGCACTTATGAAATGTTAAAGCACTTCGTAAAGACAAGCAAGCTATGTGATATATATAGTGGAACACTATTCCACTCCCCCAAACAACCTAAATAAATAACTCACTTTTTTAAATTTCGGGAGAATAGGTTAAAACTGCTAATGGTGGATGTAGCATAAACCCCCATATTGGTGATTTAAGAATATTGCCTGGTTTCAAAAAGCTTTTTAGAAATTGAAGGGGTGACTAATAATACAAGGGTAGATGCCCCAGACTTTCATCACCTGGAGATTGCCTAGAACTTGTTTAAAAAGAGACAAGTCGAGAGGCAGTTACCCCCTTGCTGTGACTAGATTAGTCATCCACAGAATACCTTTTGATGGCTTTTGTTGCAGTTATTCCTAGTCTGCTACAGTGTGCTTCTGGTATAATTGAATAGTGAAACTTTTCCTTACACCCGTAAATGGTTTTTTGTCACTCTTATCTTAAAAGAGTTTAGCAGCTACAAAATATTACCCTTCTTGTTTTATGGACCCCTCTTAATGACTTCTTCCCTTCTTAATTCCCTAACCCCTCCATTGCCTCTTACAGGGATTTGGCATGCTACTGATGGAGGAAGCAGAAAGAATAGCTAGAGAAGAACATGGATCTGGGAAAATAGCTGTTATATCAGGTAACTGGGGGAGGGCAAAGTTCATGATTCGTTCACATTTTTAACTTGGTACCACAATGAAAAGTACCTCAGGCCTCTCTTGTCCCCATATATGATTATTATGTTCAAAATTGGGCAGAGCCAAATAGGGAAAGGCTGGTGCTCAAGCACAAAGAAAATTCCTGTAAGCAGTTTGGCGGAATAGAGCTTGCAGAAGCTCTCCATCTCTTGAGTGGCAAGGCCAGTAATCTATATCCTGTCTTCCTCGTGGTCTGTCACACTGGTGTCTTGTGCTTTGTGCCCAGTTACTCTGTCTGGGAAAAATGAAATTTGATGATATGGATCTAAGAAAATCGTAAGTCAGTGTGGAGATTTGTCAGTGTCATTCTGGAAATTAAAATAGAACCTAGTTGCCAGTACAAGATGTTTAAAGGCAGAGTGTCTTGCTCCTTAAAAATTGTTTTCAGTGACTTTGTTCCTGGGGAACAGATTTCCCCTGTTTGGAAGCTTTCCCCTTACCTTGCCTAGGACATCAGATAAGTGGAGAAGTGGGCCTGTAAAGGAAGGCCTGCTGTAAGCGGAACAAGAAATAACGCATATGCACCCTTTCACTCATATCCTCACAAACTTTGCTATTCTCAGTAAGAAGCTAACTTGGTGAAAGCCATGATCAAGATTCAGGTTATTTTCCCTCCAGCATTTGTTTTCCCATTAGACTATGGCATTATTAAATGAAAGTTGAAACGACACTTTTTTTAAAAAAAATCAGTAAGTTGTTGCCAATCAATAAATCAGCACCTTTGCCCAGATTTCAATGATTCCAAATACGGAAATGTAATGACCCAGGCTCACTTAATCGATTATTCAGTCTGGCTTTGGTTTTTGGCATTATCCAGACAGATAATAAAACATTTTTTAACATGGCTAGCTCTGTGTTTCTGTGTTATCTTTAATATTTTTATTGAAGTATAGTTGATTTACAATGTTGTGCTAATTTCTGCTGTACAGCAAAGTGACTCAGTTATACACATGTATACATTCTTTTTTATATTCTTTTCCATTATGGTTTATTCCAGGAGATTGGATATAGTTACCTGTGATATACAGTAGGACCTTGTTGTTTATCCATTCTGAATGTAACAGTTTGTATCTACTAACCCCAACTTCCCAGTCCATCCCCCTCCCTCCCCCTCCCCCTCCCCCCTGGGCAACCACAAGTCTGTTCTCTGTTTTTTCTGCTATCTTTAATCCCACTAAAGAAGTGGGAACTAAATGAGGTTCACCTAATTGGTGCCAATATTTGTTATAAAACAAATGTTTCCTTCTCAATTGTTTAGCCTGTGGCTGACCAGAGGTCAGCCTTTCCTGGTACCAGGAGAGAGCCAGACCGACTCAGACCTCCTTGTACACGTGCGCCCACCGAAATTTCAGTGGCGCTTTGGCCAGCGCACTGCCAGTGTTTTCAGTACAGTACTTCCCAAGCGTTAATATGCTTGTGAATCATCTGGAGATCTTGTTAAAATGCAGATTCTGACTCATTAGGTCTGGAGTGGGGCCTGAAAGCCTAGATTTCTAACCAGCACCCAGTGATAACCTATACTGATGGTCTTCAGACCATATTTTGAGTAGCAAGGGTTTTAGTATTCTCTTCCAAATCTAGTATTCTCTTTCAAATCACTAAGGTAAAGATATTCTCTGTGACCCTGGCAGTGCCTGCATTCCCAAAGTCTGATACGCAATCAAGTGATTTTCTGGTATCTGTGGGAACTTGATCAGTTTTAAAACTGAAGGACATCTGTATTCTTTCTTTTCTTATTTTTTTTTTTTTTTTTTTTGGCTGTGTTGGGTCTTCGTTGCTGCATGTGGGCTTTCTCTAGTTGCGGTGAGAGGGCCTACTCTGTTGCAGTGTGCGGGCTTCTCACTGCGGTGGCTTCTTTTGTTGCGGAGCATGGGTTCTAGGCGCAAGGGCTTCAGTAGTTGTGGCGCACGGGCTCAGTAGTTGTGGCTCATGGGCTCTAGAGCACAGGCTCAGTAGTTGTGGTGCATGAGCTTAGTTGCTCTGTGGCATGTGGGATCTTCCCGGACCAGGGCTCAAACCCATGTCCCCTGCATTGGCAGGTGGATTCTTAACCACGGCGCCACCAGGGAAGTCCCAGGGCATCTGTATTCTTTCACTTCTCCATTATATTTAATTTGCCTTCATGATATCTATCTCTTTTTAGAAATGTTACATGCAGAGAGAGGCCTCTGACTTGCCCGAGGTCACATTCAGTTGCCTGTAAGAGCCTCAGTTTCTGCTTTTTGAGCAGTGTCTAAGTGGAAATCAGCGTCTGTCCTCTTTCTAGCCTTTTGTTATACTCTAAATAATAGCTCAATTTCAGATCATCTGCTTGTAGAACTTTTAAAGTAACAAGAAGAGACTTGCTAAAAATAACAGGGAAGAACCTATCTGCTTATTAGTTGTCACAGTAAGACTACTCGGTTTCTATACAGGGGTTTCTCTTAGCCAGGGGGTTTCTACAGAAGCAGCCCTGGAATGCATTCTTGGCGCTCAAGGGAGTTCTGTGTTACTTCCTGTCTCTCTGGTCTGTGAGCCTCCCCACCACTGCTCTGTGCTGGGGAAACCAGCTAGGGCCTTGACTCGCTGTTTGACTGACGACCTGATCACTCTTCAAATGAAAACACCAAGAACATTTACTCTGTGTGTGATGCATTTTATTTCTCTAATTTAGTAATATATTACTGTTCTATTTAAGTTTCCGAATCAGACATCTGAGGTGTCTATTATTCAGAACTTCAAGGAAGGCAGATTTAAAGTGTTTTTTTTTTATCATAATGTGTTTTGGGGTTGTTTTTTTTCTTCCATATTTGTTCAGTTGACTTTGGTCTTTCTGATTTAAGTACAATGCTGTGTGTGTATGTGTTTAATTGGTTTTTGTAAAAAGTGAATTATTCTCCATAGGTTGATCCTTAGAATGCAAATCTCCTTGTGATAGTACTGGTGCTTGTGTGCTGCATTTATTCACAAGACTTCATTAGATGTGGTGTGTAAGAAGAGACACTTGGACGGGGGTGTTAGGATTCTATTCCTGCATTGACAGTAGCTCTCCTTGTGATCTTGAATAATGTTGCTTGATCTCCATGGACCTTTATTTCTTTACTAAAAATAAGTGGGTTAGGTTATCTTTTACAGTTCTAACAGTCTAGAATTCTGCCCCTTAATATCTTCATTTCTTCTAGTTCTCAACCAGACCAACTATGTTGTACTGATTACATATGAAGTAGATTCTTTTCTAAAACCATATTAAGAGACCCTTTAATTTCATTAGTAATTGATCTCAGTCTCATTTAGTTTGGGGTATTTGATGATAAAGTTTCCCGTAGGTAGCTAATCCCAGCCATGATTTGTGGAGGCATGTCCATTTCTGTCCCAAGTAGAGATATTTTATGACCTGTGTCCTACTTTTTTTTCCGCTGACCTTGTCCTTGATTTGTAAATCCATCTTTGTTCTGCTCTGTAGGCTTCTGCATAACTCATACACTGTGGTGGTCTAGGTGTTCTGTCCTGGCATAACTAGTAGCTTGAGTAAAGGGAGAGACAGATCATTTATCATTCTGGTTTCTGTGACTGTAAGAGGAATGCATTTATGTAGAATTTTTTTTTTTAGTTACATTCTGATTCATTGTGACTTCCCTTCATCTTGCCAGCAGATTTTCTCTGTTTTCTTGGATTTATAATCTTTGATTCTGCCTCTAGACAATATTATTAACTACACAGTAGATGTGATTTGAATCACTAGTCAGAAAGACCCCATATAGTCTATTTTTCCATATTAAAAACCAAATTGTTTTTATCTGTTACCTCAAGATATTTTGTTAATAAAAGGTACATACTGTATATTTTTAGCTGATTTATCTTTTTTAAAAGACTAACTTTATAGCTACATGAGAAAACTGAAAACTTGTTTATCAGAGTCCAATGAAGCACTTTCTCAGAGTGACTTTTAAGTTTATTCATTCTGCTTAAGTATATAAAATTGTCTTAGTAAGTAAACTGTGTGTTTTAAAATTAACCGTCAACTCTAAATGTGAAAATTAAACAAAGCAAAAATGAAATGGCTAACTTCATCAACATCAAAACACTACGTGTATTGAGTATCTCCTGTGTGTGGGGAACATGGGCTGAGAGGGCAGAGAGAGGAAGGAGGAGATGCCATCCTGCCTTTGAGGGATGTTGATGCGGCCAGAGTAGCTCGCTCAGTCTTCACCCTGCAGATTGTCCTTAACTGCAGAGGAAGACAAATTTTTCCCTACTTAGACTGTTTCTCAACTCAGGATTAGTTGCTTCAGCGTAAGAAAATCTTTTCCTACATATAAAAATGGGTAAATCAGTAGTATGAGAACAACCAGCTTATAATGTGTAGGCAGGAAATAACAGTTAATTGCTGCTAAGTATCTAAGCAGTTAATTAATCTAAACAGTTAATTAAGTTAATTAATACTTAAGTCCAAGTAGTTTAATATCTTTCATCAACTTACTCGTGTAGCTTCGATCAGCACACATCTGTTTAAGATTAACAAATCGTATCTACTTAAAAGCCATGATGTTTATCTACTTGGATGATCAGCATTCTTTCCTTTAAAAATGTTAAGATGGAGCAGTTTTTTCCTTCCCTCTCGTATGGTGTAAAGTGCAAAGATTACACTGTAGAACTTAACCATAACATTTGAAATGCCATCACTAATAATCACCATGGAAACTGGAGATCTCTGATGTCACACTGCCCGTGTGATTTCTCAAAGGACAAATATAACTGTTGATAGCCACTATTTAAAGAGCCACTTAATACCTCCAACAAAATGATTTTTTTTCCTTTAGGCAGTTTTGGCTAGGCATCAGATCCAATCATGTTCCTGTTTCTGTTTGCCAAGCTAATTGCTGTGCATCAAGATGAACAGCTATTCCCCAAGCTCCCCCTACTACCTTCGTCATAAGCAGTATCCTATTTGTGTTCTTTCAAG